AAGCAGACCCTCGGCATTGCCCATCTCGGTTTTCTCTGGCCACCTCACTGCCCATCGCTGCAGCCGCAGCGGACCTTCTCCGCTCTCCTCAGGCCGCCGGCCCCACCCCAGCACCCTCCGCCAGCGACCCTGCCTTCCTGCTCGCGCTCATCCTGCCTGGGGCTTGTTGGGCCTCTGGGACCCGTGTCTTCCATCAGACCCGGGCGGGTTCCGCCGTTCTTCCCTGTGCTCATTCTGCATCCCCCTCGCCACACCTCTGGCTCTCCCGCTAGGTGTGTGCTGGTGAACTCGGTGGCGTCCCTTCATTTTCTTTGCTCCTCAGTCTGAATCAGCTCAGCTGCCTTCCCCTCGAGCTCACGGATCCTTCCTCCCGCCAGTTCAAACCTGCTGTTGAGGCCCTCCAGTGAATCTCTCACTTTATTTTTTAGACTTTTCAACTCATAGTTTTTATTTAGTTCTCTTTTTAAAAAGTTTCTCTTTGTTGATTGACAGTATCTACTGGTGAGGCATCCTTCTCACACTTCCTTTAGCTCCTCAGACGTGGTTTCCCTCGACGCTCTGAGCAGGTTCTAAACAGATGGCTTGAAGCCCTGCAGCCCAGGCTCCTGCGGGGACAGTTCTCCTCTGCTGCCTGTTCGCCATGTGTACAGGCCGTGCTTTCTTGTTGAAAGGTGGGCCTTTTTGGTTTACAATGAGGCAGTTGTGGGAACTGCGTGCCGCTGCCCTGGCTTTCGCTGCTGTCTGGTGGCTTCTGTGAGTGGGCCCGTGAAGCCTGTGTTCCTGGCTGGGCGTGGCCCCTGAAGTCCCCGTGGCACCAGCTCGGTGGCCGGCTGACGACTGGACAGGGTCCCCATGCATCTGCATCGCACATACGTCCGCCTTCACTGTGGGCTCTCGACACGCGTCAGGGCTCCCTTCCAGCGCGCAGCCAGGTGGTCCTCCCCTCGGCCTTCACCGCACCTCCTGCTCGTGCAGAGCCCCAGGTCCAGAGGGGAGAGCCCGCAGGCTGTGTGAGCTGGTGGTGCCTGCGGCCTCCGCTCCAGGGGCAGAGGGAGGATGACGTCCCTCGGGGGGCACCGCCGTCTGTCCCGTGTTCTGCGTCCACGCTGGGTCCACGGTGCGGGCCTCAGTCACCCCCGTCTGGGCGGAGTCACTCTCCAGAGCCCCAGGGCCCCCGGAAGGGCCTCCGCAGCCACACTCGCCCTCACGTCAGGCAGAGCTCAGAGATCCACAAGGAGGCAGATGGTCCCTGTGAGCGCTGGCCTCCCACCCTGTGTCTGGGGGAGCTCTGAGGACGCTCTGCTCACAGGACGATGGCCTTACACAGCCCGAAACCCACTGCTTTCCTCCCCGAGCCCGCGGAACGCACAGCGGCAGGCCTGCCCACGGCCTATTTAACCCGCACTCCGAGTAGCGGAGCTGCAGCCAGCCAGCTCTCACTGCACCCACGCCGCCATAG